TTGTGAGTTTGTTCACTAAACAAAGGAAGTCATTTAATATGTAAGACCATCAGGATAACCTTATTTCAGTGTCTTTAAAAACCCCTCCTGAGTTAAAAAAAAAGAATGGAATTGACCATTTTGCTGTGTTACACTGTTCATTTTTCTCGGTTTCAGTATTTCCTGCATTCAAAACTAACAGGACTTAGCCGTATGCTGAGTCAACAATATGTCCTAAGACTCAGCCGTGTCCCATGAGGGTCAGTTTTGCTTATTAATGAAACCAGGAAGGTGAGGGTTCCATGTTCCTATCTAAAGAAGCTTGACAAGCTGAATGTTTTGTATCCACTTAGGTTGAGTGAAATAATAACAATAATCATGACCCAAAACCCCAAACCCATTGATGTCAAGTTAATTTTGACTCATGATGACTCATGCATTTTCAGAGAAGAAGTGCATATAGGATTTCCCTATGGCTGTGGCCTTCTGAAAATAGATTACCAGACCTTTCTTCCAAGGTGCCTGTGAGTGGATTTGAACCACTAAACTTACAGTTCACAGGCTAGCACTTAACCATGTGAACAGCCTTCAATTACAATTGTTGTGTACCATTGTGTACCATACAGTCAGAACTGACCCATAGCTGACCCCCTCATGGGTTTTGAGAAGCAGTTAATTGCATGGAAGTCAACTGCCCCTTCTTCTCCCATGAAGCAGCTGGAGGCCTCAAATTGCCTACCTTCAGGGTTGCAGTGCAGCTTCTTGCCACTAGGCTACCAGAGCTCCTTTAATCACAAAAGCTAACTTATACAAAGGGCTGATTTAGATAAGTGTGTTACACATGTAAGTGCTTTTACTCCTTACACCATTTCTGTGTAATCCTGAGGCCATACCATGCTACTTCTGTAGAAAAAGAAGACATCAGTGCAGTTGCTGTTCAGAACTGACCCATAGCTGACCCTCCAATGGGTTATTAGAGCCAGTAAATCAGAGAAGGAGAGTGTCCATCCTTCTCCCGTAGAACAGCTGGTGGATTCAGACACCTTCCTTTGGGCTGGCAATGCATCACCTGACCCACTAGGTCACAAGAGCCCCCTCATAGGCATTGAGGTGTTAAGAAAATGTCCCACTATCACAGAGAGTGAAGTCACAAGATTGATTTATGGAGAGAAACTATGAGTCATACTTCTGCATAATTTTGTCTCCCCCAGAGGAGTTCTTTCTGTAAAAATGTGTGACACATATACTCATTCATTTTTAAAGAAATTGTGAAATCTGTGAATAAGCAGGTCTCTGGATGATGCAGGCAACTTTTGTTCACCCATGACATCAAGTTAATTTCGACTTGGATTGCTAGCTGAAAGACACAATTCAAATCCTCTAGATGGACAACATCTGCCTACAAAGATACAGTGTTTTAGAACCTCCAAGGTGGATCGCCACGAGGTGGATTCAGCTCAACAGCATTGGGTTTGCTTGCTTCTTATAAGAGTTTAAAGGTTGGCTACTATCTTTTAATGCCACAGAAGAAAGGCCTGGCAATCGGCTTCCATATAGTTTACAGACAAGAAAACCCTGTGACGCCCAGGTCTATACTGTGGCGCCTGGATTGTTGTAAGTTTATAGGAAGTGACTGAGAAGACTATGGCCTGAATCCAGCACAACTTAGTCTTCAACCTGACATTATTGTTCCTCAGTAATTTGGAGAGGTCCTTGTGATATGAGGTAGGGTCTGTGTTACATAGAACCTTCGAGACGATGGTAAGGAATTGACTGTTTTTGTTCTTAGGGATACATTATTTTTAGCAGAGAACAGGGATAATCCAATTGATCAAATGGAAAGACCCATCTGGTTACTGATTGTAGAGAAAATTAGTAATAAGTTAAGAGCCAAAGGGGCTCTTTGGGTGGCCTGCAAGGGGTAGTGAGACATGATTGGGTCTGGATGGATCTTGAAGGCTGACTTGACAAGACGTGTGGTGTGTTGGCATGTGTGGGGTACGGAGAAGCCACAGCTCTAGTATGACCCCTTGACTTTGGTCAGAGTCGTTGGGAGGGATATGTTGTGTAACCCCATCAGGAAGACAGTGAAAGACAGAATTCTGGGGATGAAGTGAGTGGGAAGGAAGAGTTCCCTTTTTGGCCAGGCTAAGTGTGAGATGCCCTCAGCTCTCCAAGCGGAGGAATCAGTGGGCCCACGACTCTACTGTTCAAAACGACAATCAGACCCATAAACAAGTGTTCAGTTTGCGAAGTCTTTGGGAGCTTTGAATCCAATGGAAACATTTGGTATTTTAGAGACATTTTGTTATCTGTGCTCTTTGGTCCCTGAGGTAACTACCTGGAGAATGTGCTGGAATGAGTCGAAATGGCTTCATCTTAACCCAGAGGACCCAGTCACAATCGGGCTGGTGGGAACCCATTGTGTTCTGGTGAAATACTTCTCTAGATGTACAAAGTCATTTTTAAAATTTCTTTATGCGCATTCTCATTAGTCTGATAGCTTAAGACTTGTTCTATTAAGCTTTACAGACTAGATATATAAAGTCTTTATTAGATTTTTTTCCTCCCCTCTATGAGGTGGATTGATTCAGTGACTGGGATAATTGGGATGGGAGTGTCAGAGACAGTGCAATTGGCACAGGACAGAGCGGAGTTTAGGGCTGTTGTACATAGGGTCGCTATGAGTCGCAAGTGACTCGACGGCACATAACAACAACAACAATTAAGATCTAACTCATCATTCATAATGTTCACCTACTCAATGTTTCTGAGAGTGTCTTACACATGAAACATGAAGCTGGTGTTCTTTTGCCATATACAGATAGCCAGCTAGATTATAGCCATTGTAAATACAGGGGCTTATAAATCAGAAGACTACAAAGGGAAAAAAGAAGATAATTAGGGATGGATGATGACTCAGTATGGAAAGATGTCTAAGCCAAAACTCACTTATATTTATTACATTTGGATGAGTTCCCCAGACTGAATTGTCTCTGGCTTTAACTTTCTTCTCATCCCAATTTTCCAAGTCCCTTTTGCTCTCGACTATGCAAAGCACCCTCCAGCCAGCAAGACTATAAATTCACTTTATTCCCTAAACTGTTGTTCTCTGTACATACCTGGTGTTCCCAATATTCTGCCCATTTTGAGCTGCTAGCAAGCCTAGTCATATTTAATATGGGGGGAGGAAGAGGATTTCCTCGAGACTTCCAAGAAGGAACTCTCAGAAGATGACTCCTTCCTTATGGTCAAACAAGGGAGCAGATGATTATGCCCTGTTCTCTGGGCTGGAAGAGGCCACGGTGGTGGGACTGTGGTGCACTGGTCAGATGAACAGTTGGCCAGAAACTGTGCCCACGCTTTCTGCAGTATTAACAGCTGTGTGACAGTGAGTGAGTTACTGAATTTCTCTCAGCCTCTCCTCCATCTAGTCTGTAATACAGAAGTAATCTTCGCCCTCTCTGAGGCTTGAATTAGATCAATGACTCCTGTCAAGTACTTGGCAGGATAGCTGGTATCTGAGAGGAACTTAATAAACTTCAGCTCCTTTTCTAACCCCTCTGTGTTAGAAACAGTAGTTATGCGCTCTTTTAACACAACCACCTGTAACTGGATGCTTGTTTTTGCTAAGGTTGAGTTGATTCTGACTGAGGTGGAACCCACATGTATTGAGGAGAACGGCTCCATGGGGCTTGCAAGGTTAAGACTTTGTCAGGGGCCAGTTGCCGAATGTTCCCTGAACACTTGTGGGTGGGTTTGAACAGCCCATCTTTGAGCTCGTAATCAAGTATTTAACTCTTTGCACCATCCAGAAGTTCTAAGTGGTTATCGTTATTAGATGTCATCAAGCTAATTCCAACTCATAGCAGCCCTGTGTATAATGACTGGAACCCTACTATAACGAATGGAACCCCACATGGTCATATGTCATCTGCACAGATGCTTTTGTGCTTAAGTCCATTATTGCTGTCACTGTGTCAACCTTTAATTCTTTCCAACCTCATAGTCCAGACATAGTTATGCTACTGTTCATTGGATTTTCTAGGGTCCACTCATTATTTCAGAAGTGGGTGGCCGGGCCTGCTTCCTAGTCTGTCTTAGTCTGGGAACACCAGTAAAACCTGTCCACTGTAGATGACTCCCCTGGTGTTTGCAATACAAGCTGTAGAACTTCCAGTATTACAGAGACCTGTAAGCCACCACAGTGTGGCAAAGTGATGGATGAATGGTACATAACATGTAGGGGCTGCTGACGGAAAGGTTGGTGGTTTGAATCTACCAGCTGCAGTTTGGTCTTGTAAAGACTTATGATCTTCTAAACCGATTGGAGGATCACTGTGAGTTGGAATCATCTTAGCACAGTAGAAGTGGCTATTTGTGAAAAAAAAAAAAAAAAAACAAAAACAAAAAACAAAACAAAAACAACAGCAAAAAAAAAACACCCCAGAAACAAAAAAACAGAAACCTATTTCCAAACCAAAGCAGACTAAGAAAACGAAGGGTATTTTATATTCAGAAACAGGCCGGAGAAAGAGGGCTACACTCATCAAAGTGCAGCTGCTTGAGAAACTCACAGCCTCAGCCTCACCTGGGAACTTGCAGAAATGCCCGTTCAAAGCGATAATGAGTCAGAAACTGGCGGTGAGGTCAAGAAACCTTTTTTTTTTTTTTTTTAAGCAAGCCTTGAAGGTGATTTGGTGCACAGTGCAGTTTGAGAAATATTGGTGTGAGGTAAACACACCAGATCTGTGGTGAGACATAGCGGTGTGTGTTTCAGTGGGTGTATGTGTCAGACACACACACTGTGAACGTGGAATGTTTGCAGCTGTGAAAATGTTAGCCAAGGATGGGACTGTGAACACAGTCTGGTCAGTTTGACTGTTGATTATTTATTTTTCTTTGGCATTGTTACCTGACTAGAAATATATCTGATATGCTATTTTCAATGACTTTGCATCAAATTCATTTTGAGTTTAAAAGAATGATTTATCAACTCTTCTTTTTTTTTCCCCCTCTAGGAAATTCCACTTACCTGGATGACCATGGACCCCCGCCTAGTAAGGTAAGTCTTTGTTAAATCCCCTTTTCTTAGTTCGGAAACTGTAGCCTTCTTTATTCTGGGCCACCAACAAACCCAAGATCCTTCTTGGTTCTGTGTCATTTTTTTTCTTTTTTACATCTTTTTTAAAAAAAATTTATTTTTATTTTAATGAACATTTACAGAGACTTTGGATTTCCATTCATTCATTGTTGCACTTTTCTCCCTGCCCACCCCTCCTCACAATTTGCTTTTTTAAAAAAGTAAAAAAAAAAAAAGAATAATCTTTTTCATTGTTATTCAATTCCTCTCCTCAAATACACTCCACCATGCTACCCTTGTTCTGAACTCCTATCACAACAACAATATCCAATCATATATCCCTTTTAAACAGTTCTCTCCCTCATCTGTTTTAATGCAGTATACATTATTTATCCCATCTTTCTCAGTCTCCCCCCAAATCAGATGGCAGTCCTCTTTTATAACAGTGGCACTATGCCATATTTGTCTTTTTGTGACCAAGCTATTTCACTCAGAATAATGTCCTCCATGGTCACCCATTTTGTATAATATGTCATGAGTTCCTTGTTTTTCAATGCCGTATAGTATTCCTTTGTGTGAATATACGAGAGCTTCTCTATCCATTCGTTTGCTGATGGACACTTGAGTTGTTTCCAACTCTTAGCTATTGTGATCAAAGCCAAAATAAACATGGGTGTGCATATATCTGTTTGGGTGGCAGTTATGGTCTCTTTCGTGTATATTCCCAGTAGTTAGAATTGCTGGGTAAAATGGTATCTCTATTTGCAACTTTTTGAGAAAGAGCCATACCGCCTTCCACAGTGGTTGTACCATTTTACACTCCCACCAACAGTGAGTAAGGGTTCCACTTTTTCCACAGTCTCACCAGCATTTGGTGTTTGCTGTTCTGTTAAATTTTGCTAGTCTTACTGGGGTGAGATGATATCCCATAGTTGTTTTGATTTGCATCTCATTTATAAGGAACTTATAGATCACTCTGGTACTTGACACAAAAAAGGACAAATAGATATGTCTTGGAGAGGGTGCAGTTAGAGTGCTCCTTGGAGACAAAGATAACAAAGCTTCACTCCATACACTTTGAGAATTACGCTAGGAGAGGCTATTCCATGTAGAGAGACCCCATGTTTGGAAAGATGGAGAGTTAACAAGAGAGAGCAACTCTCAACCAAATGGATTGACACGGTAATGGCAGCAATGGGCTCGAGCATGTCAGAGATGTTGAGAATGTGCAGGACAGGGTTCAGATGTGTTGTTCAGAGGATCATTATGTGTTATGCTGGACTCAATGGCACATAACAGCAATAACAACATAGATCACAGATCACAGCACAGACTCAATGGCACATAACAGCAATAACAACATAGATCACAGATCCCAACACAGACTCAATGGCACATAACAGCAATAACAACATAGATCACAGATCACAGCACAGACTCAATGGCACATAACAGCAGTAACAACACAGATCACAGATCACAGCACAGACTCAATGGCACATAACAGCAGTAACAACACAGATCATAGATCACAGCACAGGCTCGATGGCACATAACAGCAATAACAACATCGATCACAGATCACAGCACAGACTCAATGGCACATAGCAGCAGTAACAACACAGATCATAGATCACAGCACAGGCTCGATGGCACATAACAGCAGTAACAACACAGATCATAGATCGCAGATCACAACACAGACTCAATGGCACATAACAGCAATAGCAGCACAGATCACAGATCACAGCACAGACTCAATGGCACATAACAGCAGTAACAACACAGATCACAGATCACAGC